ATGTATCAAGTCCACTGTCGGATGCTGGGAATCATGACAACTACTATGGCAGACGACTTTGGACTAGGTGAGTTCTACATGGTCTCCCTGAAAATAAAACCAAGTTGCGACAACGAGGCCAACCCACTTCTATCAATCGAAAGGAGACTGCGACCCCACCAGAGGCCACAACATCTTGGTCTTCATATATTCAATTTAAAACGCTTATTCTACGGCTTTATCTGTTGAGATCAGGTTAGTCGGGCTCCCACTAAATCAGAATTTGGCAAATATGTCTGATTTACTCGGAGTTTCAAAAGCCCTTCGAAAGATGATAAATCTGATCCTCTCTTTGGAGCATCCATCATTTACCAGCATTACCTGAAGGTCGGGCTTGAATCGGGGATCTGGCTGGCATCAAGTGGCATGGAGAGCAGATGCGAGTGCGGACGACTCTAAGAAACGGCTCATGTTGAAGAAAAGACTCGCGGCTCGCCTTCTGCCCTTGGTACAGCCAACCACTAGCTGGGAGGAAGCGACTGTTTAGAGAAATTTGCGGTGACAATTCACTCTGGCTTAAAGGCCACATTTCCGCGACTTGTGGTTAGACCGGAGTGGTCTGAAGAATATCGCCATCATGTGTGCCGACAGGATACCTGTAAGGACAGGACAGACGAGAACTGGGCACGGAGTCATTCGAGTCGGGCATGGTGCGTCAAGGAACGAGCGTCAATTGTCCTACAATGTTGCAATTAACCTCTAAACCCCAAATAGGGATATTTCGAAGGCGATTTCACCCATCTTTTGCAACATGTTCCTGCTGTCAGGGTCACATTGTACCGTGTGCTCTACCATTGTTGCCAGGGCCTCCTTTGACATCGAACCAAGGACCAGTTACCACTGCCCCATACGGCTGTCAGGCTTTAAGGCCGGTGTCGTCATTACGAGAGTCCAGCCTTAACAGCGAACTCAAATATTCGATCTACAAGGAAGAAGTGGGTTTCGAGCAATCTATTGGAATGGTTCTGTTGTGGAGAGTTTCATTTTGTATGAAAGTGCCTGAAGAAGAGATTAGAGGTTGATGGCTCTGCCGCGATATTCTGAGAGCTGGAACTCATTCTTTCAACAATCTCAAGTTAACATTAAGTCAAGAAGAGTAGCTGGCTCTAACCTACATGCAGTGTATACTCATGACTAAAACTATTTAGATGGAGATGGATACAGAATGGTTTGGTTGGTTCCCTTATACTCGAGTGTCTCTATCTGTGTACGCATGTGTTAACGTCTCTACACAATACTGGCAATGGATCAGAGTAATTGAGTCCTAATGACCATAGGAAAAACATTTCAGATATTGTGTAATATTATGAATGAGCTGGATTACGATATTATTAGTAAATCTTAGATAAGAGCTTTAGTCACCCTAGGCTACCTTGGAGGAAGATGGACTGATAGTGCATTTGCCAAAAATCACATAAGTGGGCCTCATAATGTAATAGAACTTCGGTTAATTTTGCCATATAAAAGGTCTTCGCATCCAAACTCAACTGGACTACC